GCCGCTCCCAAATTGAGAATCAATTCAACCGCACGATGCCTATAGCCTATTCGTAATAATATCTCACATAACCATACGATACATCTAACACTATAAACATCATCGAATGGTATCCTCAAAAAATTTCCCTACAAAGCATTCCTATCAAGAAAATGCGACGATCTAAACAGCTCCTAATCCATTACAAACTTGTTTGAAGTACAAAATTTCAAACAACCAACAACGCCATCGTGTTCCCCGACCCCGATTACCTTCGGTCAGCACTTCCAGAAAATTATTTTTTTCTAAAATAGTCTCTCTCTCCTAAAAAAAGTAAAAAGCAAAATCTCAAAAATCTGATAACACCATCGTGTTCCCCGACCCCGATTACCTTCGGTCAACCCTTATCTCAAATTAATTTTTTTCTAAAAAAGTCTCTCTCTCTCTCCTTAAAAAGGTAAAAAGCAAAATCTCAAAAATCTGATAACGCCATCGTGTTCCCCGACCCCGATTACCTTCGGTGAAACCTATCTCTACAGATATTGTTTGAGGTTAGTGAAGTTTATGCATCTGCTTTCCTATTGGACGAACGAATTTACGAACTTACGAACGAACGCATTTAACTCGTTTTTCGTAATACCCCCCTTTCAGTAGAGGGAATTTTGAAATAGTCTATGAGCTTGTTCCTTTACAGGACATGGCTTTCTTCATAGAATCTTTTCAAACTAATTATAATGGTTATAATCCGCTGTTTTTCTTAAATCGATCAAGATAACGCCGTTGAAATTCGAACGCAGGACGGGTAATGTTTTTCTCCTTGTAAAATATAAAGCGCATGTCAACAACACACGTCAATTTATATCTTCAATAGAAATTGATAGAACGTAACCGAAAATATTTCTTTTGAAGCTGCAATAAAATATGAAAGCATAATTTTTCTTCCTAGCCTGCTTTTTTTTCCATTTTTTTTGCGAACGAAAGAAAAATATGATGTGACCATAGTCAAATAAAAACATTGCTTATCCATTCAAAAATTTGAAGGCTTTCGAATGAAAACATCAAACCAATAAAATAAAATATCCTGTTTTAGCAATCAAAAGTTTTATTTCTATAACAATTTCTTTTTTGTTTCGTTTGCATAAGGTTCGCTCAGATAATATTCTACCTATATTTATTCTACCTTTTCAGGCTGCGAAAGTTAATCTTTCCCCAAAATGTCCCATTCCTGAACAGAGAATACTTGAATGTATACATTTAAAGAAAATATGGCTTAGTAAAAGTAAAAGTAAAAGGGATTATCAATAATCATTATAATCAAAATTTAGATAGAATAACTCTTAGGAATTTGAGAAAATTTATTTTCATACATAATTCTATTTCCCACAATTACTTCCTTCGTGAAAATTTCACTTGATTGACTCATAAGAACAATGAATATGATTCTAGAAAATGAAATATCATTCAATCATTTATATAAATCCTTCTTTTTTTTTAAAATTTTAATAACAGAAATGGTAAGGGAACAACATCTGAAAATAAACAAAGTCAACTTAATGGCCAAACCATCATTTATAGAATAGGTTGAGACATAAACGAAAACTTGTTTTCTCCATGTACAACAATATTTTATTTTAGAATTATTGTAAACAATATTACAAAATAATTGTATTAATATAGTTGATCAACATTTAGTTAAATATGGGTCAACAGGTATCATTAACTGATTTGAAAATACCTGATTTATTGTCAACAAACAATCAACAACCGAATGAAGTATTATCCGATGATCAAACGGAAGATATTCATTTATTTTTACCACTTGATATCATTAAAGAAATCAATAAAAATTCAAGTGAACTATCAATTGCAAAAGAAAAATTGATTCATCAAATTCGAAATGATATATCTGTTTCTTCGAATTTATCTGTTGTCAATGAATTCAACGCAAAAATTGTAGAAATAATTAAAAAAACGCTCGATTATATTGCAACGCAACATACATGTCTACAAAATTCTATACAATCGATAATTAATAAACAAAAACAATTGAAAGATTCCTATGGTGAAAAATTAAAAGACGATGAAAATGCAACTACTTCGATATTTCCTGAAGCGTTGATCGATTCAGAAAAAGCATCAAATGAACAACAATTAAAAGAACTGTCGTTTTTTGCTGTTGAATCTTTAATAACTATACTATTGATGTTACTCAAATCAGTGCATAAATCTGATTCTACTATTGTTCATCAAATGCTCATCTTGAAAAATCAACTTTTAGAACGAATTCCATTGAACTATCTTTCATCCAATATTTACAAACGGTCAAATAATTTATTTAAATCTTTAAAACCATTAACTGACTACATCCAGGAATTATCAATGCAAACTGATATCGATCCATTTGCAGCAAACCAATCAATTAAAATTTTATTTAATTTTTCTGTCCTGAAGGCCTCATTGAAAGACATTTTGCCGTTAATAAGAAAATTAATTTTCAACACAAATGATATTTTCGATGTACGAGAATTATTTGTTAAATTGAACAAACATCTTATGATAAGGATGGATCAATTTGAAAAAGAAAAGCAAACACCATCTATTGCAACAACTATACCACAGAACACGACGAATAATAACAACCTCACGACACAAGAGCAAAACAAAACAGGTGAGTGCTTTTAACTCGTTGAAGTCGATATTTTTCGAAGCGTACATATAGAAAAGGGAACCCAAGGTCGTATGATATAAGTTATATTGTAATACTAGTGCTTAATTTGTCCAATATTTATATTAAAACAATTTAGCATGAAATTCGTTTACTTTCTCGTATCTGGCGACGAAGGGATACTACCTGAAAGAGATCGATCGGCTATAGTGCCCTGCATACGGATTGAATCATTAAATTCTTCTAGACCTTTTCACTTTGACCTTTTTCCTAGATAAAGTGTTGCAGACTGCAACAGAATTGAATATCGAACAGAGATTTTTGGCTGCTGTGGAATATCTCAAATCAATTGAAGCCTATCCAAATACACAATTGATTAAATTAAACGAAAAGAAGTTTACTGGTCAATTCATATGTTCTGTATTACTTGTTCATATTGATTTACATAATCAAATTCATGCAAAATCACAATTCGAATGCAGTTCTATGAATGGCTCGTTTTCATTTGAATTAGAATCAGAAACATTTAAATATCTATACGAATTAATCGAACAATTAACGACAATACAAGCATCATCGGACGCGAATCTCGAATATATTTTAAATGTTTGTTTAAGATTATTCACAACACATTTACAATTTTTAATCGATGCAAACTTTGATAATTTTCATGAATTTTTGAACGAGCATGACATCGAAAACTGGTTCGCATTGATATCCAGATTAGCTCTTGATGATAAATTAGAAGAGAACAAAAATGAAGCTTCGAGAGCGTTGGCCTATTTGATCGAAAAGCAAACATTATCATTTGGTAAAATGTTAACATTCATTCACAAGCATATCATTGAAAATAAACATCCGATACTAATTGATCAGTTATTGAATAAATTAAATAAACCAGTTTTCATATATAGATGGATTGAAATTCTTTGTGATAATCAAGATACGCAAGACAGTGCATTAGCATATATAGTCTTACATTCATTTATTGATATTGTGTTAAAATCGACTCTTACAAATATCGAAACCGTTAATCGATTACGCGAAATTCTAATCATATTTCAAGAATTGCTTTTAGTTCACTTAAATAATCAACCAGCCGATATATCTGATGAACTCGGATCATCTGCTCTAGCAACGCTTGGCATCGAATATACGGCACGTGTAATCAAAGCTTGTCTTCAACAAGAAATTCAAAGTGTTTTATTCGAGTCACTTCTTCTTGGTCTGTGCACACTTACGGAATCGCAATTTAACTTTGCTATCATACAACCGATTTTTGCGACTATCATGCCATTATTTGCCGAACACGTAACACGGAAAAAAATCGATATCGACGATAAAACTAGTTATTTAATGTCATGGCTATTAGGAAAAATGAGTTATCGATTAATTGTCGGTCCATCACAGAGTCCGTTAGAGAAAAAATATAATACAACATTGAAATTACCAATATTTTCTGGTGGATATGAAACTCTGACAGAAGATATAAATCCATATCTGTCGAATTTATTCAAATCTGATTTATCTATTTACAGTCGATTTATGTTGCCACTACGACGACAACAATCGATATTAGACAATGATTTTTTAATTTCAATTTATCGCAATAAAGATCAAGGTGCACAGTTAATATCAAAAATGAAAATATTCATTCGAAATAAACAAAACGTATTGCAATCGGTTGAAGCCGTTGCTGATGAAGCATGTGCTGCAGTATTCGCTGTTTATATTAAACATTATCGTCGTATTGAGCTTGCTCAAGATGAGTTAACTCGACCGATTGAACAAAAACCGTATGCTAAACTTCTCTTACTCTATGAGTATGCCAATCAAGTACGAACAATTTTTGCAACGACAAAAGCTCGAGGCGGTGATTGTGATGAAGTTTGTAAGAAAATTAAGAAGGACGCACTATTATTATTATTATCGATTAGAGAGAGTTCGTTCATTGCAAAAATGCAAGAATCTTTCTCATTACCAATTGTTGCCACGAAAAAATATCAGTTACAACGACAACAATCGCATTGGACAAAAGCTAAATGGATTATTCGATTACTTCGTAATACATTCAATGCTTGCATTCGATTAAAATATTTGATGTTGGAAAAAAAACGAGCCGTTGAACAAAAGAACGATAGTGAAAGTGTTATGCATCGAGCTATTGTAACTTGTCTATACGGAAACGAGATGTCGGCATCCACAGAAAATGAAAAATTGAAAATTGAATATGATGAAATTGTTAAATGTCTCACACGACAATATCAGCGTGCAATGACTAGATTGATTACTTATCGATTTATTGAACAATTAATTATTACGGGTCAAGATAAAAATCGAATTGTGAATATTTTGCTTATGACTTTAAAAGATAATAATTTAGAATGGCATTATCTTGAAAATATTCAAGCATCAAATAATCAGTTGAAAGAAGATATTGGAAATCTCTATTATAAAATTATTAAAAACATATTATCATTTTCAATGGAATCTAACATGAAAATAGTGCTCATGTTACGCGTGTTTAATCTAATAAATCTAAACTATGATTCGATGGATTTATGTCTATTGAATAATTTTCAATTAATTCAAGAAATATTTGATGTACTTATTAAATTTGTTGAAATAAGTACGACAAACGATGCCGATTCAATGACTATGAAACACACAGCATTCAATTGGTTTCGCTTAGTTGTATTCAAATTATGCGAACATATTGCTTTGGAACAATTACGAAATATGGATCTCGGCAATCGGAAATTTCATCATATCTTAAAACAACAACGCAGTTTGATTTTTAATAAATTAATTTTATGGGAATTGAAAGGATTACAACAAAACAAATACGAAGACACATCATTGAAAAATGTTTCCCTTCGTTCTTTTGTTTCATCATCGAAATTCAATGTTGACATTTGTATCAATCAATATTTAATGCTTTTACTTCGTTGTATTCATTTATATGATCATATTCGATTGAACTATGCTACAATAGATTATATGGAGCAACTATTCAATTTATATCATACAAGTCGATCTCTTAATAATCGTCTACTTGCACTTAAAATTCTACGTGATCTATTAATATGCTTACCGGACGATACGATTGGAACAACGAATAGATCTTTTATTGAAAATCTATTAACGGAAATTTTGTTTTCTATTGGTCAAAATTTTAATTTATTAGAAACCGAGAAAATAGATCTTGATATTACCATTGAATTTATCTATATCTATCGCATGATTATATCACATAATTCACCATGGCAAGCGTTTGCATCTAAATTGCTCGTTGATGCAATAAAATCGTGTATGAATTTTAATTTCACATTACTAGAAGCGGTCGATTCACAACAGATGAATTTCTTTCTTGCATCCATATGTATCTTAGGCGGTTATGTTCCACCGTATTGTTTGGGATCAACTGTAGAAATCTATTCAACTGATATAAATATGGATGAATTACAATCTGGAATTATAGTTGAAATCAATATGGACGCTCTTGAATCGGATGCATCCGATGTTAAACCTTATCTTGTACAATATGCAGTCACGAATCAAACTGAATGGGTTTCATCAAATAAAATACGTATCATTATCGATGTTTTACCAACAAATCTCTCACTTTTACCAGTAGATAATGTAGTTCATACTATTCTGGATACATTAGGATTTCTTGCACAAATCGATACATCAATCAGTGATTCATTGATGTTATTAGATATAAAATGTCGTGTCGTAACAGCATTCCATGCAGTATTGAGTTATAAACAAGTTATTGAAATTTTCATGCAAAAGCCTTATGCACCAATTATTGCTAAACTATCGACTTCAATGGATTGTTTTGATTCAGTTCGTAGTACCGTACCAAACGATTTGCGAATGTTTAATAGATCACATCTAGAACAATATTATCTAAGCTTATATAGATATGCAAGAAGAAATCAAACCGTAGAAAACAATGTTAATATCATTCATAATAAAAATAGATGGAATCAAATGAAAATTATTCGTGATCCTATGATTTTACAATATCTGTCTGAAACAGGTTCGATAGATGAGAACTGGAAACCGATTGCATCTAAAAGTGAGATAAAATTCTACAAAAAAGGTCGATTAGGAAATGATGAAATTAGAATTATTTCGTTGCCTGCCAATGATAATCTACCGGCGTTAGAAGAATGTGGTATGAAGCATAAATTCAAAGGACGAGTTCATATAACCAATTACGCTGGAAATATTCGATATGCAACTTTTATTCCTGATGGCATTGAGTTGAACGAAGGAAAATGGTATTTTTGTGTTAAATTTCCACGAGGCGGTGTAGCCGAAATTGGCTGGGCAACGAAGGAGTTTAATCCACAACGACATGATAGTTATGGTATTGGTAGTGATGACTTTTCATGGGGATTTAACGGAAAAAAAGGATTTTATAAGAGTAATGAAATTATAGTCTTTTCTGAAGGTGATGATTGGAATGAAGGGTCTGTGTGTGGCTGTGGCATTGAAATCAATGGTACGAATACGAATATCAAATATTGGTTAGATGGCAAATCTTTAGGTACAGTATTTTCCCATTCGGAAAATGAAGCAGTTGAATTGGAAGATGAACCAAGCGAATCAGAAATTAAAACAGATCTATTACCAAGTGGAGCTTTTGCTAGTTACTTTCCTGCTGTTACTGTTAAATTCAAACGCAATTCGAGTAATAAAGGTATTTTTGAATTTATATTTAGTCCAGAAGATATGACAGAATGTCCTCTACCAAAAGGATACAAACCGTTGTTAGTGCCAAAACTATTGACAATGGAAAATGTACTAGTGGCATATCCGTATAGTGCATATCTTGTTGGTAATGACATTCAACAATATTTCTATACAAGCCGTTGCGCAAAGAATGAGTCCGCTGACAAGAATAATTTGCTACGTGATTTTATCAATGATGAACATTTTGAAGTTCCGTTCAATGCTGATATGATAACAGCGAATGATAATCTATTGAAACTAACCAAAGAGAATGATGGCTTCTCGTTGTCACTTGATAATCAACAATCTTTAACTATTAGCTTTGATTTTGAGATAGTTCCGGCCGATGAGGCAGCGAGTTGTCCTAATCAACTTGATATTGTCTTATTTACGTTAGATGATGCAACATTTTCTATTCGTGTCTGTATGAATGATATCAATGATGATTTCATCGATGAAACCAGGATACATCAACAGCGTGTTGTTATTCTATTTCAACTAAACGAACAAGTAAAAGTCTATTTTAACAATAAAGTTCAAATGCTGAATTATTGTCACAGTTTTGATCCAAAAACAAATTCAAAATTGAATCTACGTCTCTTGCCACATGTAAATGCTGGAATTCGAAATTTGGGCATATGGAAATATATATTATTGGAAGAACATATTCGACGTCTTTTTACATATGGTCTTTCGTATGTTGCCATCGATTATCAGAAATTAAATAAATGGAAAAATCAACTAAACACCATTAAATTCAAAGCAGACCAAAAGTATTTCGCAAACGAAATACTCGTTCCATTCAATGAACCGTTTGAGAAAGATCTATGGGAAGAAACAAAACAATATATTGATTATGGTGAATCGAACTATTTCAAGACTATTCCAAACACTAATCAATCCGCGATACAATTCTTCGGCAATAAAACTTATTTAATTTTAAATACTGCAAACCAAGTGTGGTCTGAATATACGGTGATTCTAGATATTTCCATACCAAATTATCCGTTAGCAAAAAACCTATCCAGAAGCGAAGCTCGATTGACTTTATTAACCTTAGATACAGAATCCGAAATCTATCTAACACATGACGGTCGTCTTCATGTAACAGGTGATCATCACAGTTCATCAACTGTGTCATTGAACGAATATATTCGTTTACTTGTTTCTGTTCAGCAAAATTCTCTTCAGATCTACGCCAATGGTTCGTTAGAAATCGATATATCACTTAGCGATGGTCAATTTACGACGAAATTGAAACGCATTGATCTATTTCGAGAGTTAGATTTAACTAAGAACACTACAAATGACGACCAACTACGCATTGAATGTAGATCGATAACATATTTAAATAAATCAAGTCATATTCTTTCTTCATCAATGAAAAAACTAATCGAATCAACTGAATGTTGTCTAGATGAACTAGTTTTACCTCCGTTTAGCATTCTATCAGCAAGTCTCATCGGTATTGGTTACAACGAAGAATCGATCAAATACGTCATGAAAAAATATAACACAACGAATATTTATTTTATTGATAAGACTCTACGAGAAGAACCTCAATATATAGAAAAGATATATCCACAAGAGCAACAACAAAGAAGACTTGATGTTTTAAGACGATTGCGTCCTTATGATGAAAATGGAACATTATCTATGTTAATAGATACCGGTGATGTTACAGCTGATTTATCAATATCAACATTGAAATCTGAAATAGACAACGATGCTGATGATATGCCGTCAGATAAAAAATGGTATTATGAAACGGTTCATTCTGTAGGCATTCGTGATAAACTAGACGATTGGCTTCGAGATAAAGAAGCGAATAATCAGCTAACAGCTGGATATTCTGATTATAAAAACCCCGATTTAACAAAAGCAGATTTTGATGAAACAGAGTCTAGTATTAAATTCAAGAGCGCTATGGAAACATCATCACATTATGTACATCGACAAATACCACGAGAAATCTACATTCATTCAAGTATAACTTGCGCATATGGACTAATAGCAATCTATGCGCATTATACAATATTGAATATGGTGAAAGTCTGGTGTAGTGATGATCATTCAAGTTTATTTCCATTTTCGCAATTTGGTGATGGAGATTTTATTGTTAAATTATTACGATCCATGGATCACCATCATGCACATACGCGTATGTTCGCTGATGAAACTATCAATAGAATGAACGTATTAGTAATATCGATAATACAAGTTGAATTAAAAGACTTATTGAAATGTATCGTAAACGAAACGCTAACTGTTGAAACATTAAATAGGAACGCTCCAATATTTTATCATTTACAAAAGCATATTGTTGAAGAATCAATTCACTTTCTTACTGAACCCTCACTCATAGACATGAACAACAATAATAATGCAACCATTGATGCACAAATAGTCATTAAACAATCAAACTTAGACTTTCTTCTAAAAATCTTTCGTCTCTTTTCAGAAGTATTGAAAGACTTTGAAGGAAAAAATGATGACATCGATTTGTTAATTCGATTGTTGTTTCCAAACATAGTTATCAAAATACTCTTCGATCTATTTCTGGTGGTACCTTCACATCAATTGAAATTGTTCATCATTGGTCTTTTCACTAAGTATGTTATTCATATTCTTCATACATAATCTCTAATAGATTATAGAAGTCTATGGTCATAACGATCGACACAGATTTGAGCTATAAGATTTTGATAATTTTGTATGAAAACCATTCGTATACGCCGATGAAATTTATCGAGCGTAAAATTTTTGCATTTGTCGACATTGAGATTTTGTTTTCATTCATGCATCTATTTCATTGTCCCCTATCATCATAATATGACCTAGCTGCATATGAAAGTCAATCACTATACAATAAAAATCTTAATCAAGTTTGATTTCGTATTATCTTTAATGTTGTCTTCTCTTAAAATAGATTGATTCAAGCAAGTGAAAATTTCAAACTTCACGATGATATTCACAATTTTACGCGCCATATGTTTATTGAATCACATATAAATGAAATGTACCTTAACAGTTTTGCATTGAAACATTTTCGATGTTCCCTCATGCACTTAGAATTAATCCAAATTGAAAGAGAAAAGCAATCAGCTTCACCATTGACTCAATGGTCACCATTCATGAAGAATTTAGCGATCGTCTTTGACCTAATCAATATTTTAACGAATAAAATAAAACCTTGTCAATGGCCTGAAATATTTTTTGCTGAATCAAAAGAGATTCTTGGCGAAAGCCTTACGTTGACGAAAGAAGTGTTTGAGACAGCTCATAGTCACTTTGATAGGACTGCTGATGACCAATTAATTAAATTTATGAATCAAAATATTAAACTCAACGAAAATGCATGGTCACATGAATCTGCTATCGATTTCATCAAAACTCTATCAAATGAGTCAACTCCTGATTCGACCGCGTATGCTTCATTTGCTTCCTTATGTAATATACCATCAGTGTGTATACAAACGCGTGTGAAATTTTTCTATTTATTCAACAATTTTCTCGCAAAGATCTTACCAAGGATAGATTTTAGCGTACCACCAGGCATTAGTTTTATTGCAGATCGAATTCGTTCTATACGGCATTGTATATTATTTGCAGTAAAATTTGAAATATTCAGTGCAGCTTTAGAAAAAACTGCGAATGATTCAGACACATCCGATGTCAATTTTGACATTGTCAAAGCTAGCGTAGCTGAAAAGCCTGAAAATACAATGTTCTATCAGGCATATATACAATTGCAATCAACTGCGTCTTGGATATTTCGACGGTCGCCTAATGAACGAGCCTGGAAGGCAACGTACGTTGGTATGTTTAGTAACGATCAAGGCGGACCCTATCGAGATTCAATAACACGCATTTGTGCTGATATATGTAGTACACGATTACCATTATTTATTCTTTGTCCAAATGGACGAGTAAATATCGGTTCGAATCGTGATCGATGGATTCCAAATGTTTTCCCGCCGAACCGATCCATACCAACTGATATCAAAAATCAATATCGTTTTGTTGGACAACTCATGGGCATGGCAATATATACGAAACAATACTTAGATGTTCGATTTCCAATTTTACTATGGAAACAATTGCTACACGAAGAAGTAACGATTGAAGATATTGAAGCTATTGACATTTCAAGTTTTGCAATTATCAATAAAATGGAAGAAAATATTCGAAAAGTAAAAACTCTCAATACTTGTAATGATGGTGATGTAAATAACAATGGCGACTATTTATTTAGTAGTATTATGACTGAACTCACATTTGATGTTGTCAGTTCGACAGGACAAACTTATGAACTTATCCCAGGTGGTTTTCGTATACCAATAAATACTGCAAATTTCGAAGATTACTGTATGCATTATCGTCAATATCGTATTAATGAATTTCATCGACAAATTGAATTCATTCGTCAAGGTTTATATAGTGTCGTACCATGGGCTAATATGACTTTATTTACAGCTCATGAATTAGAAGAAGCTGTTTGTGGCAAAGGTTATATTGATATTGAAATGCTAAAACGTCATACACGTTATAAAAACGATAGTGCATCTTCGCAACGTATTCAGCAATTTTGGTCAGTTTTTAGTGAAATGTTTTCTGAAGAACAGAGAAAACTATTTTTAATATTTGTTTGGGGACGAAGTACGGTGCCGTATAGAGATGAAGATTTTTCGACAAAGTTCACTATATCAAATCTCCAAACAAGTGGCGATGTTGATAAACTTCTTCCTAGTAAGTTTATTTCAATCATTAAGTTCCAGATACATGACATTTTCTGATGCTCGAATAGCAGCATCGTAGCTTCGGAAGATGAAAAAGTTGTTAAAAATGATATTGTAGAGAAAAAATTCCTGATTTTATATTTGATTCGATGGACGTCATCAGCTCACAATCAATTGTTTCTTCTAGTAATCATTTAGCAGAATGTTTTTGTTTCTTTCTCATCTTTAACGTAGTTTTCTATCGTCGGATATATAAATAATTATTTGCAATCATAAACGTCTACTGAATGCTTCAAACGTAAGATCTTGTTGACAATCTGTATAGCTAGTGATCAATAATAACAAGAAGTATGAAGTCGTACTAGAATTGAAGATCATAATCTATTATAGTACCATGTAGTGAAACAGTATTCCATGATTTTTGTCTTTGAAATCGGAAAAATATTGTAGATTCTATTTTAATAATGAATTGAATTTTATGATTTTTTTTTCTAGAATCGTACACATGTACCTTCACTCTTCACTTGCCTGCATATTCAACTAAAGAGATTATGTATGAACGTTTAAATTATGCGATTACTTATTGCTCTAGTATCGATACCGATGGACGTATGAACTAGGTTTCTATATGGTTATTATGAATGCTCTTAGTAAATCAATTGAATGCTATACTGTTGATATACCTTGTCGAGTGAAATCATGTTTTGTTTTTCTAAATCAATTTGTAATAATAAAATACATCAAGAATATACTTAGGGCATACCGAAAGTTCGTAGGGTGATACCTTAATACCTTACCATAAGCTTCTTATTCAATTTTCTAACTGTCGGGAAAATGTTTCGTTTTTGTGAAAAATAGATAATGCACAAAAGTGAGCCTTGTCCACAGATTTTTCTACAAAATTATATTAGAGTTCGACTAGAATGCATAGTATTCATCTCAGCCTTCCGCACTTTGTAGATCTTCGATTGGTGCTTTGAATTAATACTGGCAATTGAAAATTCACTGTAAACAACTTACTAGATAAGCTGGTTGCTAAAAGGATCAATTGAAAACTTTATAAAAAGCAGATTAGGAAAATCTTAAATAAACTATTCAATGCACTTTTATACCCTCTTCCTAACGGTGAAAATTGTACTTCTCTATCTTATTTCTATCAAAAGTTATTCAAAAAAACAAAAATACTCACTCGCATTTATACAACCAGCAAATAACCAGCTGTCATAAGTTTAATAGATAATTTAATGTTATGATATTAGTTGAAATATGATCAAATAGCATAGAAAGATAGCTTTTTTCTCTATCAGAGTATATGGAAAGAAAGCTACTGAAAGCTTATTATAAGGTATTAAGGTATCACTCTACGAACTTTTGGTATGCCTGAGTATTTTATGGATTGAACATGATTTTCGAATAGGTTACAAACAAGTTATTGATCAATTTTCGATGGAATCCGACAAAATTCAATCTTCAGAATCCTCATTCTGAATATTTCTCTATTGTGGATATATTATTTTCCACGTAACAATATTTATGTTTTATTTTCTAACTTATGTATACAATCTTCTAACGTTAATCTAATTATCTCTCTGTTTTTAATCATACTAAATTTTCTCCAAGCCATTAATTTTCCTTCTTGAAGATAGTGTAAAAGTGCTTTAACATCTTTAATATCACTAATCAATCGAACATAGTCAATGACTCGTGCGTGTGGTACCATAGTTATTTGACCTTCAAATTGTTGTAAAAATAAGAAAGACCAATCTTGTTCAAATACAGCAGGTAATAAATCTAACATTCCCATTACTCGTAAATTTTTTTTCATATCTTCTTTCAAAAGTAATTCAGTAGCTGCTAATAAAAATCCTCCGCGATAGGCTCCTCCACGTAAACGCCAGCCTGATGGTAGACCACCTTGTCCACGCGCATTAAAAAAGAAAGGAATAATATGTGGATTTGTTTGACTTACTAAAAAGTAACTACATCCAAATACTTCTGACAACCTATTTAATGGTATATCATTTTCAAAGCTTCCATCTCGAAATTTCAATCGCCCACCATGTAAAGGGCGATAATTTATTTGTCCATTTTTAGTCACTATTTTCTCAATTAAATGAACTGGATGAATTAAACCGGGTACAGCTGCTGAAGCTAATACAGCTGAAGCAATTGTTACATTTGGAGTTGATAGATAGTTGAGACAAACTGGCGGAGAATGTTTTCGTGCATTTGTAGCGGTGATATTTAATATACGGCCCGTTTTTTCATATGCTTCTTTGAAAGTTAAGCCAACTTTTCCGAATCCATCTGCTCCAGCAAACCATTGCAATTTTTCTAGCCAAACATCTTGATCAAACATAGCTTGACATTTAATGTAACGCTTAATTCGATCAAACCAAGGAGCATCAAAACAATTCAAATGAGGTAATAATATTTCAGCTTGTAACGTTAATCGTAGTTCGTCATCTGATCTTGTACAAACAACGGCTGCGACTACGGCTCCACTACTTGTACCACTAATTACTTTAGGTAAATAACCGGAAGATAAAAGTGCTTTTACAACTCCCCAATGATAGTGACCAATTCCAGCACCACCAGACAAACATAGTGCCGTTGCACCATAATGAGATTTCATAGCTTTTAAAGCTTTTAATACAGATTCAGCTGATAGAGTTCCCGTAGACGAGTTATCAGTTGTTAAAACGTCGATAGTTTGTTCAGAAAATGAAGTTTGTAATTCAGAATAATCACTATTGACATTGGTATTTATAAGACGCTCTGTTGTACTAGGACTAGTTAATAAAGGTGAACAATCATCATCTGCACAGATAAGGTACTTGTCTTCGGCTTCGGTAGTCGTGATAAAATAATCAGTTGGCGATGCTAAAACATGTGTTGGATACGTTTCGCAGATGTCAAGTAACTGAGCTTGTTCCGTTAGATATTTTAAACTACGGACAATCTCTTGAATGTATTCTTCTATCACATATTTTGTTCCAACGAAGCTTTTTGAATATAAATGTTCATTAAGAATCCCATTCATACTTTTATTAATACATGTTTGTAATGTTTTCATAAGTTTTTCGATATCCTTCACTTCTCGATTACTTTTCAGTTCATCAGTAAATGTTCGAGTTAAATTTGCATGATAATATTTTGATTCAGAGCTTGCTTTCCAACTTTCTCTGCCATGTAATTTATCAGTTTTACAAGCATATTCATACCATTCTTCATAATTTTCAGCATTATTCAATGTTGATGGCCGAATAAATATTGATTCTAGTAAACGAATAAAATATCGTAATAATATATAAAGAAATAATTCAGTAAGAACAAATAAAATAAAAAATAAAAATATTGGCCATTTAAATACACGACGAGTACCCAGTAAGAAACAAAACAATGATATAATAGCAATCGTTACATACAATGAATGTGTTGCTGTAATAGCGTAGCCAAACCATTGAAATAGTATCTGAGGTAAGATGATAGCTAATTTCTTTGAGTAACCAATATAAAATACGGTGCAAACGGTAAACAGACCAATAAACATGGTTGAAATTATTCACGAGGAATTCAAATACGATCAAGTACAATATTATTATTTATTTTTCGTAACAAATAAACAGATGCAACTTGTTATTTTCTTCGTTCCTTAAAATTTCAGATCTGTATGTTTTGGAAAAAACAATGACCGATTCTGGAAGCGCTTGTTGCTTTCTATCACTCTATATATCTATCTATTGTCATATACGTTTATGTGCTGCATGAAACAAATTCAAGATAAAACAAAAACATATGGGACAATAGAGAATTTCAAGCTTGATAAGAATATGTAATAACTTGTTTTTTACGTATTACTTGCAGAGTGATGAAAAATTGCAAAAACTAAATGAGAAGACGACAGCAAGTTTTAATCCGGAGAAATCGGAAGATGAGAATGCCATTATTGCAGTCCATTAATTTTTCAGTAAATAGGCGCAAGTTAAAACAGAGATATACAAGGTAATATAAAACTACAAGCGCTTTCAAAATCTGTAACTTGCATTTTCCTGAATGTGTTATTACATTGATAATATATGTAAAATACTGACTATCAGTATTTTTTTTCAGGGGTATCAATGGCATTTTTTTTAGTATCTACATCGAATACCTTCTATCAAAACTCTCATATTCTATTTCTCAAATATAATATTTCCTTCTGCGAAGTTAAAGGCCGAAAAACGAACAGTACAATGAGAACAAATTTTTCCACTTTACGAACATTTAAAGAGGAGCGAATGCAAACGTACGAATGGTGGAGAGGGCATAATGATAAGACAATCTCTCGGTTCTCTCTTCAAACAACATTGAGTGTAATGAATCTAATTTGACGTGAAGACCGTGCATCGTTAACTATTCAACAATTTTTCCATCTTCAGAGTCATTGCCTGGCAAAATGTACATAAGCAACATGATAGTGTGAAAGCGTATCTCGATCGAGATGTTCAGTTCTCAGTTTTGGAAACAAAAATCAAAGCTCTCGAGTCAGAATCGGATAACAATTCTTTATATTCACCGAACTGACATTCATGATGTACTAGTGTTGTCTGAGCATGCAAGAAAGGAGTCTCAAAAATTCTTCTCTTCATCGTCATCACAATCGCCAATAGTGTCCTCCTCAAAAATCGTTATCACAAACTTTGACATGTTCTTACGTAAACAAAAAGAAAAGAAAGAGTCGCATTTTACTTTCTTTTCTCCGCCGAAGAGATAACCGCTCAGCCATTCAATTCATGTGTTATCAGCACGACATCCTATCGCTTTCACATCGTTGTGTATACTTACAGAATGTGAGAAAAAGAAAAGAACAACACATTAGAAAGGTGTAGCTGTCTGAAGCACGTTGTCGACGAGTGCATCACACTAACCTTTTTTCTTACATGTGCCTAAACTGAAAGAGATTGATATTTTCAGCATCTATCCTATATGTCTGTCTAGATATGCTCAATACTAGAATTTGAACTTTCTATTTATTATCATTACAGAAATATTTTCAACATTTGATTATAAGATTACATAAAAAGTACTAGTAATCGAAAAGAGAATTATAATCGAAATTACTTTTAAATAAACAATAAAAATCTATCGATCTATCAGTGATTAATTATTTGTTCTGTCACTAGTTTCAGTCGAATGGATATTTCTTTCTATCATTTGCTGGCATAATGAATTCAAGTGTTTCAAAACTAATACAAGTGATCTAGATTACTTTTTTTCATCTCGTGAAATGATCGATAGTGTGCCAAGGTATATTAAATAGTCTAATTTGAAGCATTTGTAATTATGAATTGATAAAAGAATTTTATTTGAAAAGGATTGTAACATGATTTAGAAAAAAAACAATTATCTACCGATTGACTTTGCCAATATCAGAATCATCTTGTTTTTTCATGTGATTCATTCATACATTTTGTTACTTCTGCATATTAGGGCCAGTAGAAAAAAAAGATTGTATATTTGTTCATATCCATAACGATGTTAACAAAAAACATATAGAGCAAGAGTTATATGTAGTAAAATAACTGCTACTCGTATTGAATACATGATGAAATGGATACAAGTTTGCTCATCTGTTTATTGTTCCAAATTCTAGCATAGAGTAGTTCTAGACATACAATACATATATATATATGTTGTAAATATCAGCCTCTTTTACTCTAGAAACATGTGACTGAATCAGAACTTACTGGGCATTTCCTAGCGAAAAACGGGTTAAACCATTACGAAAACTACGCTCGGGTCTCTAACGTACGTTATAAAGATTAAAATGAACACCCATTGTGCTTGTAAACAACTCTATGATTATTTTATAGATGAACCAACTCTTTTGAAACAGACTCGACCGTCATATAAGCACAGCTACGTCGCAAAAATGCCACGAATTGCTTATCAAATTGGTTAAGAATACTATATACTTTGTACCAGGGGCGGCGGAGCGTCATTAAGCTAGGTGAGGCTCATAATTTTTTTTTTCTATCGTGGAATTTTATGTAAGCATCAATCAGAAAATAAGTCTTCTTTTTATTGAACTTCAGAAAAAATAAAAATGGTCTGTATAAAAAAGAGATTTGAAAATACCAAAAAAATACTTTTCTTTTCTGCTTCTTTGATACAAGAATAAAAAATAGCAATATTCAGTGCAAAAAACAGGTGAGGTTGAGCCTCATCTTGCGAAATCTAGGTGAGGCTCAAGCCTCACCTGTCTCAGTGGCTCCGCCGCCACTGCTTTCTACTTATGTGTTTCGATTTTGATTTACACTGATTAGAATTTAGTATTGGTCTTCTTTTTTCCGTGTATTCTAATAATTGTTTTTTAATTATCTATTGAAATTATCATTCTATTTCCAGTTTTAATTCGCCTATAAGGAAAATTTTCAGCATCAATCTGATTCCGACAAGAGAGAAATGTATAAGGGAAAATTGGATACTATCCGGAAAAAACCATCGAATGAGTGTTGAATGTCAACAAAAAATACTTCTCATTTTTCTCCTGATTTAGAAAAAGATTTATCATGATAAACTCCTAAATTGGGTGTCGGTATGAATGTTTAGCTGTGGTTGTGTGGATGAAAGCAAAGAAAAGAATTACACACACACCCTTGCTCAAGGTAAGCGATGCTGATTTTAATTTATTTCTTTACTAGTGAGTCGACCATCAAGTAGTCTCTTGTGTACAATGTATGATTTTAACTGCATTTCTATGAAAGAATTCATTCTTCACCGAAATGCAGAGAATGAAACAGAAACTAACAGTGAGAAAAGGAGAAAAAAGACTCGAGTGAAGCATAGAAAAGTGTTTTTTTTTGTTATAGTTCGGCAAGAAATATTCAAATCATTTTCGATTTTGCCTTGAACGGCTACAGATACTCGAAAAAGGTGAGTCTGTTAAGCAACATGGCAAAGTTTTGCCACATACTCTGACTTTGAATGTCACATTTTTATTTAAAATAAATTAAATTCTTTGAAATTCAAATTGACTAAATTTTGAAAACTAGTGGATAAACATAGCTTTTAACGTGATTGCTACTATGTAAAGTCAAATTTTAGTATGCTTCTTGTTTTCGAAAGTTAAAGCTAGTCATTCTTCTACGGATTGTGCTATTAAATATATTCTTATGAATATCCCAGTATTTTGAAGAAGAAAGATGACGGATCCTGCATAATCCGTAGAGAAATTTTGACTATGATGAAAAAATATTAACCTAAAATACTGGGTTCTTCTCTAATTTAGTATTTACTACTGTTACAGTCGCGTATTTTCCTCATATCCATGGTGAGTATTCATTCACACAATTTATTAAATTTTCATATGAGAAAACTTTTAATTTATTTAAAATTTAAATTCCCAGAATTTAATTTAAAATTAAATAAACTGTAAACTGACACCCCTAACTCTGACCGATTGTCTAGCTCTGGCTAGATCGAGACTTAATGGAACAAATGAAAAAACATTCTGTTCCTCTCAGCTTACATTTTGCTCGAAAGCTCAAGTTTCCAAAAAAGTTCCACATTTCTATCTTTTGAGATCATTTCGCTAAAACATTTACAACTTCCGCGTGTGAGGTTTGAATACGGATACTCCAGAATGATTGTACTATCGCGCATTTTCTGCATACTGTAACAGAGGCAAGATAAAACAAAATTTCTCGCATTTTATTTAACAAAAAGACAGGCTGTCAAATTTTCTACATATTTTTGCCTGTATGGGTTTAAGAGATAGAACTGATTGTTTTTATAGATCGCAGTGAGATTCCATTAAATGTATCTACTTTCTACACATTGCTCTTAACAATTTATTTTTCTCATATGAACAAATATTGATTTACGAAAAACAGAACTCACTCCTACCCATATCGAGTCTTACGGAGTTCATATAAGGTTGTAAACGGTCGTTTATGTTTCGTGGAAGCCACGAAACTCATGAAAACAAATGCCTAGACGTCTGATATAGGTCTTTTATAATGATTTCTTATTCATGCACGAAACTTTTGAAAACGTTTCGATTTTTGCATCGAATTTGAAACCTTTTTATTTCAGTGCGTATCCAAACCCTCATATAATCTTCTTCATGATTTATTTGGGAAAATTTGACTGAAAAGCAAAGGATCTTTTCTGAAGGAAATCCAAAGAACAATTAAGTCTCACATGAACTAATACTTTAATTCTGACATTGTTGCTTTACTACGTCTGAATCGAGTACTTCTAAATTTAATACGTTAGGATCCCTCAGGTATGTTGAAATTCAAGCTAACATTCATTTTTTTAAGAATTGAAAAGTTTCACCCACGTCATTGATCATCGGTTTTCGTTTGAGCACTATCGAATAGGGAATATAAAAGTTCGTGCCTTTTTATCTTTCGCTTCCTACCCAAACGATAAATTAGATGGATCCATTGTCATAACATTTATATAGCTCGACTCACAACGAACAAGAGAACACCAATGGGCAACAAAGTATCTCCGAGTGAAGACTCTTCAACACGCATGGAGTGGATGTGGCGATCGAATTCAGATCCGTTGTGCGAGTCGCAGGTAGCTGAATGGAAACGCTTTTCTGACGTGGAAAATCTCATTATAGAAGAAGCATTCAAAGCCAAACAGTCTGAAGTCTTGCTTGATGATTTCTGCATTGATTTCAAACAGAGCGTTCAAATATCTACGAATGATAAGAGTAGCCAACGATGTATAAAAAGGCAAGTAAACAAGAGAGACAATACAAACTTACGGGAAGATCGTTTCATGCCTGATCCCATTTCTCCAAAACGTTCATTCGGTGGCTAGTATGGCTGGATTTCTCCCTTCATACAGGAAACGCTTATCTATCTAGGGCTAGCAGACGTAACTTTGCCTTCACAAGACGATCCAATTATTCCAATAATCGTTGAGAAAGCTGCTCTTGGCATCATTGAAGAAGGGAATACACTAGGATATCATTCTGTAGCCGAGTGGATGGCTAAAGAACTGATCAACCAGAAAGATAAGGGAATGAAAGAAGTGTGGATATGTTGCGCTCGTCTTTACTCAATGGAAGAATTTTTGTACAAGAAGTTGAATGAGATAATGAGATTAATAGGAAACCAGAACCATGAAGAAGTTTGGCGTAGTAAAGTTCCAACACTGGGACCATTTTGTTTCCTTCTTTGGAATGATCCAATCAACAAAAGTCCAAATACGACAAGAAAAATACTATACCGAGCAGCCAACTTGAGCAACGCTCAACTCGATAATTATTGTGAGTTGAGTCAAAATCCCGATCAATATCGCTCATTCCAAGCGTTCACCTCTTGCAGCCGAAACCGTGCCTCAGCAGAGCGATTCGGCTCCACTTTATTCATTATGGAAGTGGAGTATGCTTTCACTGCAGATATTCAAAGATTTTCCAAGTATCCAGAAGAAGAAGAAGAACTTTTGTTTCCTGCTGTTTGTTTCACAGTTAAACGTGTAGAGTATGATAAAACGAAGAACCAAAATTTGATCTACATAATATTAAAGCAGCGCTTTGATGGTGAGTATGAGCTAACGTTAAGCAACGTTCCATGAAAAAATCGAAGATGTTCTACATATTAAAGAAAATAGGATACTGCTGATTTTGAATTCACTTCTATACGCTGTAGATAGGTGGGCCTGTGAGTGAGTGTGCCCGGGTCTGGATGGACGTGCAGTATCTTAATTATTTCCACCTCAATCCACCCCCACACATACTAACAGCCCACTCCATCCAAATTCACCTCCACCCAAACCGATGCACACCCACGTACACGCACACAAGAACACACTGAAAAAATAACGATGAATGGTACTTTGACAAGGGAAAAATGGCGCACTTGATAACTGAAGTCTCAGTTGCTCCTCCCTTGCAATTTGAGGATAGATACTGGTGTGGAAATGAGTGGATGAATAGGTCTGTACTAGTGGCGTAACCAGAAAATCGAAGGTGCCCTGGCGGCGCCTTACAAGCTTTAAAAGAAATTATTCACAGTAGTTAATTTTCCCCAAAGCTCAACTGAATCTCCCCATTTTCGTTCAACTACAGAGAGAGACAAAAACAATGTATCTGCTATTTTATTAAGTTAAACTAAACAGCAAAACGAAAAGTCAGGAAAAAAGTAAACCAACAAAAGGTACTTCAGAATTATTCTGCTGTTCTTATGACAATCAGACATTCTGGTTTTTAATGCACTACTTATAAAGTAATCAATTACTTATTTTTATGTGATATATACAATGGTGTGCAAAAAAACTTGGAATAAATCTTTAGTCTGTATTAGGGGCTAGTTCAACTATTTCCAAAAATATATTTCTCTATTTAAAAAATATTAATTCACAGTTGTGTAATATCTAATTCAATGTACGATTCATTCTTCTTTTGATTCTATAATCAAAAGACATCCACTTTCTATGCTATTAATCGAATTGATTATAAATATTTCAGTATAAATTTTTAAGAAAATTTAAATGGTACGCGATTTTTGTGGTATAGATAACATATTTTTCTTATTCACGTTCGTTTTCAACATTATTCTTCCGGACCACTTGATTATCTCGCCGAATGAATTGACCTTATTTTCGGCTGTATTGGGCATTAATAGCAGATTTCCAACTATCGAATGCTCGATATTATAGAAAGCAACGAGTTCAGATCTTATTTAAATGAGCAACTAATTATAGACAGTAGTATCTTTATATATCGGTGGATTTTTCTGGCACAGCTAATTCAGATGTTCTAATAAGGTAATACAGAAATATTGCTATTTGAGAGAGTGTGTCTTGCTTCATTAGATTATTATATCATGATACAATAGAACTTTTTCAAATATATGGAAATTTTTAGTAGATCATCTACCTAGTATAAATCTGAAATAAATGCAAAAGAAAGCCTCAAGAAGATCTAGAAAATATTAAATGCTCATAATGTAAGATTGTTCCAAGTTTTTTTGCAAACCATGGTATATACAAAAATTTTAAATAAACCAGCAACTGATATTGCTCTTTAATTAATGCCTATAGTTTATTCGATTGATGTCACTTACTAATTGTTTTTTTTCAGAACTATCGCATCGCATATACAGCAATAAACTACAAACATTCTAATAGTGCTTATTAATTTTTTCTTTTGACCGGTGCCCTGGCGGCGCCAGGGCTAGCCCACCCCTAGTTACGCCACTAGTCTGTACTGTAAGAGAGTGTATGTGTGAATAGACAGTCTTTAAACCCTCAAAATGATATTTATCCACAGTATCAATATTTGAAACTTCTCAAAAATGGAGCTTTTCCTTTTTGCCATTACGTTTTAGGCCAAGCGTAACTTTACAGAAAAGCTAAAGTATCCATTTATATACAAATACCTCAGAAGTATACTTTGTATTTAGACTCGGAATTAGAAGAAGCAATCAACGATGAATCAAGAAGATCTTTTACGTACTTTGGTTGCATTCGTTCGTGTACTTGTTGTTCCAAGTGTCAACACAGATTTCGTGATAATGCTCTTCGTAATTTTCGCTATAATCGGCGTGGTGAGACTTTTGATTACGGTTGTTGTTGTTGTTACGGCCAAAGCTTCCTCTGTTGTTTGTTTGCTTCGTGTGTTCATTGTGGCCGTGACATGACTCTTTGCCAGGCTTGTAAACTTCTTCCGTATTGTTGTGCCTTATGTTGTTGTTGCTGTTGCTACTGCATTGCTTCTCTTTGCTGTAGTTGTCTATGCCGTTCAGATAAATGAGCTCATAACTGCGTGTCACCTCGTTTCCCATCTTTCGAAAAAGGACGCTGCCAGATCTGACCAACTTATATGAACTGAGATGCCAAGTGTAGAGTCTGAAATACCTGTTAGACTCGAAACGAATAGTGTATGCTAAATTGTGTATCGTTGTCAGGATAGTAGATAAATTGTATGGTGACTCTATCTTTTATTTCTTTGGTTTGTTCTTCCGGTATTTTATGACTCATGATTTTTGTTTCTTAGTTCTTTTTTGTTTCATTTTGTTCCCAAGAATAATAAAAAGTCAAATAAGGACGTGGCAACAAGAAATCTAACTATCGTAATGGTTTTTAACATGGATTGCGAACTAATATTAATTCTAATTTGAAATGCAGCAAAAAGATTTTATTTCTTTATTTTTCGAAGATTATCAACACAATGTTAACGATTTGGGTGTGCGGGTGTTTAGGATGAAGGACAAGACAGCAATCGCACCTACACCCAAACTACAAGATTTTTCATTCTTACTCATTTTCTACGATAAATTTTCCCCATTGCTATAACTTCTATACAAATATATTTAAAAATAATTCATGTGACAAAAGATTGGTATGCATGTATGTGCATAGCAGAATACAAAATAAGCGAGATATATATGTATAATAAATATTACACAGCCAAAAAATATATCTAAACAAATTCTATTTGGTACATTAGAATATGTCTCGAGTTTTTATATAAGAAGATAATTCAGAAGAAAGAAAAAAATAATAAAAATTATAACTCTAGATCATATAAGTAAAAATAGACAAATAACACACAAAATGTGTGCAATCTTCGATCAAACTACATGCAATTAACAAGCACTTCTAGAAATAGAAAATTTCATTTGAATTCAAAATTAAAATAACATAGCTGCTCATACTTATAATACAAGACATTTTGGCAAAGTTTCTTCATAAACACAAGTTGTATCTGATTGAAAATCCAATGGACACCAACGGTAATTTTTTTGCCATTACCATTTGTTCACAGAGCATACCAGTTCGATCATTTTTACATAAAAATTTATAACTATCTCTTGTCGATATATATTGGCCATCAACATTATATGGTTTTAAATTGTATTTAGGAGATCGATTGACTAAATTTTTCAAAAGAAATAAAAGTATAATTAAGAATAACAAAATAGCAGTGATAAAATAATATTTATTTACTCAATTCACAACGTTCGCCAATGTATGGTTTTAGCCATCAACATTGAAGTCCTTTTTCGTCTTCAAAACATTTTTCACCATTCAAAGATGTTACATTGGCACAGTATGAAATACTAAGTGATCGTTTACGCCGTAATGTTTACAATGATTATAAAAGAAAAGAGAATTTGTAACATATCTATAACTCATGGTATTCGCAATAATAGTCATTATAATTTAGAACTAATTATTTTTACATATTATTTCGTCTTTTATAGAATTAATTTTTTAATATTTCTTTCTTTTTTTCATTAATATTTTAATATTCATTCCTTTTTGAGAGTAATCTTTTATGCTTTATTCTCATATTATTTTAAATTTTATTTCTAAATTATTCTTAAAAAAAAGTTCAGGTCAAATTTTATCTGTTATATTTTTGCATTTCATTTTTTCTATTTCACTTTTTAGATTCAGTCTTTAGCGTGTTAAGATTATTTTTTATATGCGATTTTTTTCGTTTGGTTGCATTTTTCTAAATGAAATAAATTAGGTTAATTCAAAGATTATTAAATTAATTTAAAACATATATTGACACGACATAGGTTCGAACAATACCGGTTAGCTGCGTTTTAGCGGGGAAAACGCTAGAGCGATTTACAATGGTTAATCCCAGACTTTTATCATATTATAGGGATTAGGTGCGACTTTTGTTGCAACTAAAAGTTCACAAGAACGTCTAGTTTATTGTGGTGTACATTGACATCGATATGTGTTAGTAGACATTTTTTGACATGGATTATTGAAAAAAGGATTACTAGCCACCAGTTTTGTTTCACAACATGTTCCACTATTTTTACTTCATGGAAAATAGGTATGTGCGTACATATATTTATTTACAATAGTACAATAACTTATTGCGTATCAAGGATTTAACAGACATTCATTTCGTTTTGAAGCAACTTAAAAATACAAAGAAAAATAATTCATCATAAGACTATAGTGTTTTAAATCAAGAACATATTTTGTAAGAAATCACATCATTATAATCAAAAATAATAATGGGAATTATGTTATTTGAATTCAATTCTGATTACTGTTAGTTGTTTGAAAGTTATTTCCAGCTTTATTAAGAGTCACATTGTTTCCTTATGCTTAATTTAAAAACTTTTCCAAAACACTAGAACGATTTTCACGACTTCCATCAGTATTTTCATGATTTTACGGGTGTCATTATAATTGTGAATACATTCTCGTACGATTTCCAGCTTAAAATGCTAAAAATCAGGTATATTTTCATGGAAAAGCACTAATTAACTCAAGGGGAGGGTATTACAACCTGCATAGCTTCCTGTTACCGTAACAGTTTTAAATAGTTAATAGAAACGTAAAGAATAATATATGAGATAATCGCATGCTATTCTTTACGATGAATTCCCACTAGTGTACTGCGTAATTGCGAGTATTTTTCGTGATCGTGATCAAAAGTTTGAATCACACAGTACACTTTATCAAATGAAATACGTTGGGCAGATATCGCAACAGAATGATCTGACAGTTTTCTTGTCTCTTATAATCACATAGGAATTTTCGTAATCGTGATCGTGAATTTTATTTTAAAAACATCGTGATCGTGATGAAAAACTTCAATCACTTAGTATACTGATTCTCACACAAAATTCCTACATAGCCAGGAGCACATAGACAACGGAAACCACCACATGGTACAGTAAAACATAATCCTCCATTTCTACAGGGGTTTGTTGAGCATGGTACACCAAGTATAATTGTGGGTGCTGTTGGCGTGGTATCTACAAGTTTTAGAGAAACTTATAGCTAATGTTGCGCGTTTGATACTTGAATAAGGATACTACCTCGCATATCACAGAGATCTCCGGTGAAGCCAGTTGAACAATTGCAAAATTGAATAAGAGTATCAGTCTCTACTATACAATTACCATTCACGCATGGCAAACCACATGGTTGCGCGTTAATTCGAACTATTGATATACTAAATAAAGAGAATAACAAGGTAACATGAGCAAAAATCAAACGTATGATATTTTAAAAGACATATTTTTCAAAGTTAGATGAATAAAAAAAGAATATGCTTCAGATTTACCTGCAAAGAACGAATATGAAACAGCAAATTACTTTTGAAAACATCGTTTGTGTTACAATAAAATCGAACAGTAACAGTAAGCATTTTTTATATCTGTTGCATAGCTAATCTTTTTCGCATTCGCCGGAAGTAAAAAATACGCGTTGATCTTACAATAATTAGAAAATATGATATTGCTACGATGCTTTCTTCACAATTTTATTTAATCTCAGAGAAATCAATCCTTATCGAAGAAAAAAGTATGACAAAATGAGAGGATTCAATAGGCTTGTTTTCATCGGTCGTAGTATGACTGATATTGCTCCCACTTTTTTTTTAAATTACTTATTTAATGACGAGTTAGAATGAATTCAAGAAAAATATTATTTTCAAACTATAATTTTATTTTTACTATGAGGAACTTATAAAAGTTTGCATCTTGAGTAAGTCAAAGCCACAATTTGTAGCCATCCATACTCATTTTTATACTTAGAAATCTCATTACTAATATACTAATACTATAGGATGGGTGGGAGTATGGATGAAAAAGGATCTCAAGAGCCAGTCACCCACATTCTCAAGTGAATACCACGAAACGTCATCCAAACAAATCAGAAAAACACACAGATCAATAAATTTTTATTCAGAGTAAAATATAAGATTGACAACGTTCGATAGTTTGTTTGTGTTTTGTAACGCAACACTATCTCATCAGAACCAGTTAATTGTGTAAGTCATTTTCCAAGCATAGATACAGAATCTCTCGATTTAATCGTAACAGAAGTGAGTAATTGTGGCCTACAAACAGAAATTTTACGTATCTCTAACCAGATTATTCTGACTGAAACATATTGGTATATCGTTTAGCAATAATTTTTAAATATTCGATGATCTTGTGTTACAAAATATCAACTTGATTCTGATACATAAGTAGAAAATTTCTAAATTCTTCATCTTTATTATACACGACTTCAATTTTTCGAAAAAATTTCGGTTCTTTTTCTTACGTATAATATGGTTCATTCATACGTTATAGCTCACGGAGATGATGCAAGTCAAACCCATCCCAGTCTGTAGTCAACGTGAGCAACCGATTGAAGATAGTATAAGACTTTCGTCTGAAAGAGAGAAAAAACCATAGCTAACTCATATCAAAAAATTGCGAGTACTAGAAGTGTATGGCTGGATGGAATAGAAGATCGCAGCTTCGATACACGCTTGTTGATAGTATTGATGTGAAAAGAACCACTGTCGTTCGGACAAATATGAAGAATTAAATTGATCAATCAGTTCATGATACTTACGTAATGTTTATACTGAAAATCAAAGATATGCAAACGACGCATCGAAATTAAAATCAATGTTTGCCATATTTTAGCGTTCAAAGATTTCCTATTATTGACTGTAGACATACGTAATAATTGAAGGTGATGACAGCAATTCTTGATCAATGATTCAAATAGATCAAAATTCACGTATTTCAAACTGAACGAAACATGTGTTAAACTATTGAGTGAAACTGGCATTGTTTTTACGTTCACATATCCATTTAAACAATGGCATAAAATATGGCGAAGTTGAAGAACATATGTTAAAATTGGTCTAGATTCATCATGACTTTCATACAATATTTTAAAATATTTCAATATCGGTAAGCGGAAAAAAATTATTTTGATTTGATAAACAAAGTAACTCAATTCGATGTTTTTTCGGCATAGTATAATAGTCGGTTTTGACATGACATGAGTGACATGTTGGAATAATTTACCTTGAAATTTCTTTTTTTTTCGACATAGTAAAAATCAACATCCAGAATATAAAGCAGTAGGAAGTAAATAAGAAAAGAAAAAGATAACTGCTGTAAATATTTATTTCAAATAGAAATAAAAATAGAGAGATTCAAGCTTTCGTGTCCTTTTCTGAAACACATTCCCAGAAAAAGACTGAATGTAGCTGATAGTAATACATTGAAACAGAGAACAATTCGAATGTCTTCACTCTATTTTAACCAAATAAGTTCGTTTTTCTTTTAAATGAATCATATTTCTCTTGTGAATAAAATCTATACTAAGCTGAATTAAAAAAACTTACTCTAAACTCTACAAAGTTTAAAAGGCGAAAATAAAAAGGAAAAGCCAGTATAATATTTTTTAATTGATTTGATTCAATCTGAATTAACTTCTGTTTTATATTTTCCGTTTTAATTAAATTTTCAAGCGAAATTCATTTACTTAGTTATGAACAAATGCTCATCTATGAAATGATGGGTTTGAGTACGAATATAGATAACAAACACCTACAAAATTCATTTCAACCAAAATATTCTGAACATTGACGATGTTCATGCTGTTTCTTGATGAAAATCATACGATGAATCAGTCGAACTATGTCATTCGATAAAACAAGGGACAATAACATGATGTCCTAGGTTCTATTATTATTCATTCTTTTTTTTCTGTTTCTCTTTCGTGTGGACCAATAGAATAATTCTATGCATGTGCTTGCTTGTTAGTCAGTCAGAACATCATATCTCGACGAACACTAAAGATATAAATATTCTTATTTCGAGATTTTTGCGTTTTGCTTTTCTGAAATGCCCGAAATAGGATCATGTGATGTTAAAACATGTGATGACAATATCAAAGAATTATATGAATGTCACTGTTGTTTACGTCTTGTTTGTTTAAATCATTTGAATGATCACGTTGAATTAAAAAAACAAAATCAACGACAATTGGATAATCTTCGTAATGAATTAAATACAGCAATAAATAAGTTGAAAATAATTGTTGAAGAAAAATTATTAATTATTGGACACGAACAATACTTAATTGAACAAGCAAAACACTTTCTTGATGTACCCACTAGTTCAATTGATGAACTACAAAATATTCTCGGCAGAATTAATCAAGCAATACCATTCAGTCGTTCAGGTAAAAACTAAATTACAGAATAATTTCTTTCTTTCTTGTTTATTACTTTTTGTTTTTGTTTTTATTATGGAAGAAATCACGATGAAAGTCGAACCAACATTATCAGAAACTAAACATTGTTCTTGTGTTTGCCAATGTAATAATGAAAACATGAACTCAAATGGTAAAATAAAATTTCTAAAATATTTTTCTCGTTCCATTGTATTTATTCTTGTTTATTTCGATCGAACAATAGATATCGATGTCTAACAAAGAACCTATTCGAAATAACTAATCGCCATTTAAACTCTTATAGATACCAGAAAGATGTCTTAATAAAATTAGTTGTAGTTAATAGACTAGATTTTAATTGTTCTAATAACTGTAGTTTTGATGTGCCAGTGTCCATAGTTGTAAATATAATGATCACCAAAGCCGACTAAAATATTGCTCTTCCAAGTAAATTTGGTCTTGGTCGGTGCCTATTTATTTTACGAGTTGTTGGTTTTGACCTAATATGAATTAAAATGGTGGATACGAGAGGCATTCAAAATATATCTTTTTTTATTTCATGTATTTAGATGTAGCAGAAGAATTTGGAATCTCGAAAAGTTAGTTAAATTTTCTTTTGACTTAAAAAAAATGATGATTCGTTCAAGATGATAGGTATTCAATGCAGATCGATGATGATGATTCTATGGATGCTACTTCATTTGAGTAAGTTTCTTTTCTATTAGAAAAATATTTAAAACCGATTGCATCTTCCTGTGTTTTTTAGTACAACAACGAAATCTATTAAGGTAAACAGAGTTACATCTATGAATAGTTGATAATGCCAGTTTTTAAATTAAAATATTTTCATTAATAAACGTCGTCTTGTAGCAAAGTCTTATAGTTTCAATATAGAACACCTTATTTTTCAGTCAAATATTATATGAAATGAATCCTGCATGATATTTAAATCTCATTATGTTGTTTTCAGGATCAAAATGTAAACAAAGAACAAAAGAAACGTGAACGGAGACTATGCACAAGCAGTTATGGTAAATGTCCATTAACATTTGATGGAGCATTTGGTCTTACTCAAACAAATCATTCTATTACACTTTGTAAACATGAAAAAAATCATGAAACAGTATTATATGGCCATTTCATCAACAAACATAGATTAAAAGCAGCTTGTGCTGTAAGTTTGGTAAAAGCTATTGCTGATAAACAAGATCCTAGAATAACAAAATTATTTGATGGAAATGAAACTGTAGTTAATCTTAAGTATAGCGTCCTATGTCCTTGTAGAAACGGACGGATTGATGTACCAGGATATAGTCGACAAAAAGGAAAAAATGTACGATGTCAACGTCGTTTAGTTCCATTCAATGCATTAAAATATCACTTACGAAATCATCATTATATTTCTAAACAGTTGGCACAAAAATTAGTTGATGATTTGAAAGAAATTACAACAGAAAATGATATCGTTTTGCCTTCACCAAATGTATCAATATGATTAAGAAGAACAGAAAATTTTGAAAATGTTTTTGCTAATGTTTGTCTAGTTGTTTTCTTTCTAAAAAGAATAAAGATCTCAATAGTTTGCAATAGATATGTAAATTACTTTTTTTTCAGTTCAAGCTAATGAACCCATAAGAAAGGAAAATAACAAACGAGAAAACCTATGGAAATTTTGAAAACTGCTCATGATCGTGATATAACTATGAATAGATCTCAGTAGAACTATATTTAATTGTAAAGGATTAAACTCCATAGCTTCCTGATAAATAGTCATGGCTGTTGTAATGAAACTGTTCTTGACAGCAACATAGTAAATGATTAGATCTTTCTCAATATTTTTCATTTCCAAGTAAATCGATTATTATGTTGTTGTAAACCAGTGGGTTCTCAAAATAGAAAATTTCAAGAATGGTGTATTCATTTTTCGTTGAACATTTTAAGACTCCAAATTACTTTAAAAAGAAAATGTCACACGAAAAACCTATTTAATTGAGATTTTTCGAAAATACTTTGCTCATTCGAATTCTAATTAAAAAAAAGTAGCTGTTTTATTTTGGAAACGTCTCTATTGAATGTATGAGGGGTGCGTCGATACGGATAAAATTTGTATCGCCCATCGACATCGTATCTATGTTACATTGTTTCCATATATACCCCCGAAAAACCTCGAATTCATGAATCATGTAACGGGATGTAACGGCATGTATCGGCATGTATCGGCTTGTGTCGAGCCTCTGTTACAATATATCGATACAATGAAACAGAGGCTCAATGGAAGCCGATACAAGCCGGTACATGATTCATGAATTCTAGGTTTTTCTGGGGTATATATATGGATACATTGTAACAGAGCCCCGATACAAGGCGATACACGCCGTTACATGCCGTTACATGCCGTTACATGATTCATGAATTGGAGGTTTTTCATAGGTATATATCTCGATACAATGTAAGATAGATACGATGTAGATGAGCGATACAACTTGTATTTGTATCGGCGCAGCTATGCTAGTTCTGCATACGATAAAGATACAGCTGTAAGGGAGCTAAAGTGTCTTATCCATGATCACATCACTTCATCCCATTCGGAGTATCAGAAAGCATGTGAACTTGTCTTGAAATATAAAAATATACGATAGATATCTTGTGTTCAACATCCATCGATGATAATGTGGCTCTTTACTTTATTGATAGGTCATATTCAGACAAAATCGGTGTTTTAATGATGTTCAACTTTCGAGAAAAATGTGGTACAGTAATTGAACGGTTTTTCTCGCCTAATAATTTACCTGGAGTATCTGATTTCGAAGATGAACGTGAAGTTCTTATATTAATTACCATTGACAATCTTTCATGCTATGAATATTTGAATTGACAAAACTAATGATGAGCACATAATTTACTTGGAAAATATTCTCTCATAAAAGGCCGGTGAAAAATTTATCAAAATAGGTCAAGGAAATGGAAAAATCTTGAATAAAATGGAGAAAAAAAGCTACAGAGATATCTGGTGATATGCAGTTGACCGAAACTCCTGAACTGTAATAATGAGAATATTGTGATAGAAAACAACTTTTATAAGTTTTCATCGGAGCTTTGTTTGTTGAAATAGGGTCTTCATCTTCCGAATTGTTTGTTTATTTGAAGAGTGAAGGAGAACTTTTGCTTGACTGTGTGGTATGACGTATTTATATTTATTGGTTTCCGAGTGAATCTAAGCTTGTGGCAAAAAGAAATGATACGTAAACTTACAAACACACCTACCTACATCCATAACCATCTATGAATAGTCGTATATGAATTCAAATAAAAAGGTGTGTTAGGTAGTGGCGCTATCTGCGACCACTACCTCTTCTTCTTTCTGTTATCTCTCTATTGATCAAGAGACCTAAGAGAAGTGATGTTGGAAGAGAAGCTGAGAGTTGTTGAAGTGATTCTAGTTAACGTTGGTTTGAAGAAATAAAGAGTTAGGTAAACGTAACTATCTAACAATTGGTGCCGTGACCCTTCGTGATCAATTTCGACCACAATTCGTCGAACACGATAAGATTTTTTCCTCGATTCGTTTTTTCTCTCTCTATTCCTCGTCCTGTCCGGTGTTTTTTTTCTTCTCCCGATGCTATATCAAGATTAATACAAGGGGGAAAGTGCTGGCACCCAGCACCGAAAAGTGTTGGATATGTGCTGATGTGCTGAATATGTACTGAGGTGCTGAATAGGTGCTGAGATGCCAATTGATTTTTTTAGGATACCACATAGACTAAATCACTACATTGTGATTGATTAAGAGCGCTCTCTATCAGATTCATTGTGCTACTTCAATACTAGCGAATTATTTAAGTATCCGATCAGAAATTCACTCATTTTACAAAACTGTCTAATTGTAATTCAATTTTTCTTACTTAGAAGAAACTCATTTTTGTGTTGTTTTTCAGATATAAAAAAGAGAAGAAGTTCCGTTCAATATTTTTCAGTTACTTTACGAATTCTTATTTGTTCCATGGGATAAAATGCGTTTTTCATATTGTTTAAAGGTGGCATGTTGTCAGTAATATAGCAGTATACTAGCAGAAGTACCCAGTGTTGCCTGGAAAAGTTCACATTTAATATATGCAAACAAAACCCCATTGTACTTGAGAAGATCTAAAACGCCTAATTAGTAGGAAGAGATATATACACCTACTATTTTTGCCCCGTGCCGATTTTGATTCCGAGCCTCGGACATATTCTAAGTCTCGATCCCACCTGATCTCGTTCACAACGAATATAGAGTAATGACATTGAATGACGACTTCGATGTAAGGAATTCTTCGTCGTTATACATGTAGATCAAGAAGACCTTAGTGGCACATCTAAATTTTATGAACTTTCTATATTTCCAAGTACATCTCGGAGCACATACTTACGTCAATTGGTTTCGCTCCCGACCGACTCCCGTCTCACTTCGTCCCGGTTCGGTCTCGATTCTGTAGCTGTTTGATTCTATATTTAGAGGGAACCAATTTGAGAATTCAATTTTCTTACAACCATGCAAGAAAAACTCGCTTCTATCAAAACTCAATACAACCACACATCTACTTGTTCTATAACTTCAGGTTTAGAATATCTATTGATTACCAGAGTTATGACAGTATATCGTACTTTGTGCTGTTGAGAACACACTGAAATTTGATTGGTTGCAAAGAAAGATCACTTGTTCGAAATTCCTACCGCAGATGATTTCTAAAGAATCAGTTTCTCCAAAACTCTACGTGTATTTGACATGGTCCACCTAATTAAGCAACGGATCATCTAGTAAGGTACTACGCTCGATAGATTTCCAATTCATAATGTCCATCTTACGATCATTCAGTGACTTGTTTACTCAAAAACTCCGTGTCTGTTGATTTTGGACTAATCATGAAGTTATCGAAGTAATTGGGCCCCAGATTCGACCTCATCACCCTCAAAAACCTCTGGTGCCATGCTTTCTGTGTGCTCACGAAGTGCTGCTCAATAGTACTTGTATACTACCGAATGCTGAAATCTGATTAACCAGTCACATATGCATTTTTTGTGGATGGAGGAGCGACTAATTTTGGGAAAAAAGAATTGTTGAACTTTTTCTGGATGAAAGAAGAATTCCTGGAAAGTTTAGTTGCATTTGCTCGTACGGTGTCCAAATGCGTAATGAACAGACACACAAACATTTGCCTACATATGTGGGTGGCTCCGTGGGGTTTATACGACTTTTGTGGAAAAACTATTATTTTATTTTAATTGTCTAGTTATGTGTATCGTTGTCAAAAACGGTCTACGGTAACAGTTAAAACCTTTTTGGAACATATAAAATATGGAGAAACATAATTTTTTTAGGAACATCTCCCACACATAAGGGTATCTAATAATAACTGTTAATAAAGTAT